GGCCGCTGCACTCCAGTCTGGGCGACAGAGTGAGACTCCAACTCAAAAAAAAAAAAAGAAGAAGAAAATGTCACCCAATTCTAGAATCACACATAAACTCCAGTTAAGACCTTTAAACTAAACTTGTTGCGATTTTGTCTTTTGACAGTCCTTCGAGACGGGAGTTTTCGCAGCTGTGATCCACTTGAAGTCCATCCCCTTGACACAGCCGGGCAGTTCTTTGTGCTTTCAGCCCACCTTTCCTCAAGCAAAACCCACACACCGCTGCACTCAAATGGGGGGTGGAGCTACTTTTCCTAGGGCCGTGCCCTGACCTGTAGGTGGGTGCAGGGGTGGCGACCCCTGGTCTATGCAGCTTGACCCTCCTGGTATGGAGCCTCCACCCTGTGAGCCAGCTGGGGTAGAGCCATCGGGGTCCAACTGTTGTCACCTGCCAGGCCCGGAGTGGAGCGCTCCCCCTCCAGGTGGGCTTGTGTGGGGAAGTCCTTCCTGCTGTCCCTGCTTAGAACCGGGATTCTGCCACACAGGCTGGCAGGAAAGGCCAGCAGCCTGCCCCCCCCAGGGCGAAACGGAGACTCAGACTCAGAGCTGGGGGAGAGGGAGCCCTGTCTTTCTGGGCATGCCCAGAGCACAGCGTCCTAGGTGAGCCTTCCACAACACAGAACCAGGGGGCACGGGGGTGCATGCCTTTTTTTGACACCACATACGTGTCACTGATCACACCAGTTCTCTGCCATCAGCCGGGTGTTCCTCATGTGAAAATAAATAAAATTTAAAAGCTGTTAGAGCCCCCAAAACACTGATCTGAGTGAGATGTGACTGTGATCTGAGTCACGTATCATGTTTTGCAATTTTGCTTTTCTTCATTGTTCTTGTTCTGGAAATGACTAGAAAAGACCATTCGCCTTCCGATCACTGATTTTTTTTTTTTTTTGAGTTGGAGTCTCACTCTGTCGCCCAGACTGGAGTGCAGTGTCCGCACCCCGCCACCGCAGCCTCGACCTGCTGGGCTCCGGCGATCCTTCCGCCTCAGCCTTCCAAGTAGCTGGAACTACAGGGGCGCGCTACTCCGCCCAGCTAATTTTTTGATTTATTGTAGAGATGAGGTCTTGCTGCCCAGGCGGGTCTCGAACCCGCGGGCTCAGGCGGTCCACGCACCTCAGCCTCCCACAGGCGCGGGATTACAGGCTGAGCCACGGAGCCCAGCCCAATCACTGACCTTTGTTAGAGATTAACTGCCTCCTTATTGTCCTGTTCCTAACCTATCATTCTGTTCCTATCTTGTGCCTGAACAAGGACTCCAGTCAGTTACATCTTCAGCCTGGAATGTCAAACATACCTTTCCTGAAAGAAAAGGCCCACCTCAGTGAATCAGATCACTGTGACTATGCATTAGCCCTACACAGAAAGATGTGGAAGGTCTGCCAATTTCCTAAGCTTGGTCTACATAAGTGATCCCATCCCAAACTTCTATACTTTTTTTTTTTTTTTTTTTTTGCGTTAGAGTCTCACTCTGTCACCCAGACTGGAGTGTAGTGGCCGCTCCCGGCCACCGCAGCCTCGACCTGCTGGGCTCCGGCGATCCTTCCGCCTCAGCCTTCCACGTAGCTGGAACTACAGGTGTGCGCTACCACGCCCGGCTGATTTTTGATTTATTGTAGAGATGAGGTCTTGCCAAGTTGCGCGGGTGGGTCTCGAACCCACGGACTCAGGCAATCCACTCACCTCGGCCTCCCAAAGTGCTGGGATTACAGGCTGAGCCACCAAGCCCGACCAAAAAATTATTTCAATAGTTTTAGGGGTACAAATGCTCTTTTTGGTTACACGAATGCATTATATAGTGGTGAAGAAGTCTGGGCTTTAAGTAGACCTGTCACCCCCACCTTGTACCCAATATCTGATTTTCCATCCCCAATAGAATGATTTTACTGAGCCACATCAACAAAGGATTAACAAGGGGGTCTTAGCTGGGCTCGGTGGCTCAGCCTGTCATCCCAGCCCTTTGGGAGGCCGAGGCAAGTAGACAGCCGCAGGTTCAAGACCAGCCTGGGCCAGTAGGCGAGACCTCATCTCTACAATAAATCACAAAATTAGCCGGGTGTGGTAGCACGTGCCTGTAGTTCCCGCTACTTGGTAGCCTGAGGTGGAAGGATCGCCGGAGCCCAACAAAAAACAAGAGGGTCTCAGAGGCCTCAGGAGAGGCACTCTCTGGGCTGGGGGCCAGGGGACAGGTTTCTTGTCCTGGGTGAGGGAGTGTTGGGAGACTCCACCCCTCTCCAGGTCTGTCTTCTGACCAGCACAAAGGGGAGAGCCTGGCGTCCCGTTCTGAGATGCCACGGCCTGGGACACCCAGGCCTGGAGTCCCAGGTACTCGGGACGTTGCGGCAGGAGGATCGCTTGAGCCCCGGAGGCCGAGGCCGCAGGGATGCTGTCTGCCTTGAGCGGGAGGCCGGCACCCATCATGGGCGCCCAGCAGGAAGAGGGCAGGGTCCCTTTAAGCCCAGCCTGGCTGTGGCAGTGGGTTGCTATGTCTGGGACCAACTTCCTTAGCAACCAGCTGGCCTCTCCTGGGGAGCTGTGGCTGCCCTCGGCCATGGCTCCCAAGAACGCCGGCAGGGTGGGCAAGGGGTCTGAGGGCAAGAAGAGGAAGGGAGGCAGGAAGGAGACCCCCGGGGGGACCCCCGTGGAGGCGCCCGTGCTGTCCATGGAGGAGCTGCGGGAGTTCTACCACATCCAGATCCGGGACCTCGAGGACCGGCTAGCCCGGTGGGTGCCTGGGCCCCGGGTGGGCCCAGCTGGCGGCCCCAACCTGTGTTCTGGCTGCCTGCGGGATGTCCAGGCCCTGGCCCTGCTCCAACCTTTTCCTCACAGGAACCCCTGGGAGGCTTTGGGATTTGGAGAGTCAGTGAGGCCGGCCCGGGGACTCATGCCTGTAAGCCCTGCACCTTGGGAGGCTGAGGCCGGAGGATCCCTCGAGCCCGGGAGTTGGAGACCAGCCTGGGCAACTCAGCTAGGCCTCATCTCTACAACAAAAATTGAAAAATTAGCTAGGCATGCTGGCACAAGCCTGTGGTCCCAGCTACTCAGGAGGCCGAGGTGGGAGGACTGTCTGAGCCCAGGAGGTAGAGGCTGCAGTGAGCGATGATCATGGCACTGCACTCCAGTCTGGGCGACAGAGTAAGACCCTGACTCAAAAAAAAAATGTTGTGGGTTAATGGATTCCCCTAACCTCCACTCCCAGAGCCCATGCCAACTCACAGCCCCACCCAGGCAGGCCCCACTTCCCACCTGCCTCACTCCTGCCTGGTGGGATCACACACTTTATTTTTTTATTTTTTTTGAGTTGGAGTCTCACTCTGTCGCCCAGACTGGAGTGCATGGCCGCT